CTATCGACCCCTAGAACAACCACCCCCTCCCTCCCTGTCGACCCCTAGAACTTCAAGAACCTGTGGCTGCGTCGCCATTCTCCACCTTTCTCCATAAGCTGGCACCTGCGCGCTCCCCATCATAGATTTAACAAATGGTGGAAACTCTCTCCAGCCCAGTAAATCCATGACAGGAAGTACGCAAGTGCACCCTTTGGGAGGAGGGCGTAGAATGGAGATTCAGACTGGTATCATTTGAACAATAACGGACAGAAGGTTTACATCTAGAAAGAATGACTTTCCTCCGATTCGGAAAAGGGGAGGTCTTTAAAAAGGACTTGATTTGTTCGTTTGGGCTTCTGACCCTTGACCTCTGAGGCACATCCTTGCCATTTTGTGCAAAAAAAATATATTGACCATTACAGACAAGATATATTTAAAGACCTCCTCTTGCACTCTGAAATAAAAACCCATAGTAGTCTTGCCTAGATATATATATATGTATTAGTTAAGAGGGTAAAAGACAACAAGGACCAGCAGATATGTTTCTGACACAAGCCAAAGCATGGAGGTGGACTTGCAGATAGGACCCTGTGTTCTGTCCCAAATGGCACCCTATACCCTATATAGTGCACTAAATGGCACCCTATTCCCTATATAGAGCACTAAATGGCACCCTATTCCCTATATAGAGCACTACGGGCCCTGGTCAAAAGTAGTGCACTATATAGGGACTAGAGAGCCCATTGGGAGACATCGTATAGTATCACTGCCCATTGGGAGACGTCGTATAGTATCACTGCCCATTGGGAGACGTCGTATAGTATCACTGCCCATTGGGAGACGTCGTATAGTATCACTGCCCATTGGGAGACGTCGTATAGTATCACTGCCCATTGGGAGACGTCGTATAGTATCACTGCCCATTGGGAGACGTCGTATAGTATCACTGCCCATTGGGAGACGTCGTATAGTATCACTGCCCATTGGGAGACGTCGTATAGTATCACTGCCCATTGGAGACGTCGTATAGTATCACTGCCCATTGGGAGAATCGTAAGTATCACTGCCCATTGGAGACGTCGTATAGTATCACTGCCCATTGGGAGACGTCGTATAGTATCACTGCCCATTGGGAGACGTCGTATAGTATCACTGCCCATTGGGAGACGTCGTATAGTATCACTGCCCATTGGAGACGTCGTATAGTATCACTGCCCATTGGGAGACGTCGTATAGTATCACTGCCCATTGGAGACGTCGTATAGTATCACTGCCCATTGGGAGACGTCGTATAGTATCACTGCCCATTGGGAGACGTCGTATAGTATCACTGCCCATTGGGAGACGTCGTATAGTATCACTGCCCATTGGGAGACGTCGTATAGTATCACTGCCCATTGGGAGACGTCGTATAGTATCACTGCCCATTGCATGTGAAACGCTAAACAGAAAGGGTCAATAACGGCGTTACAAAACCTCCACATTTCAGTTCATGAGAGCAATTTATACTTACATAATACAGTAAATCCTTATTAGCACACCTCAAAAAATAAGATATTTAGCCAAACATATTCTTGGTATACAAGGTGAAAAAACGCATGAACCTCTCTATTCAGTATGTATAGACAAGACGTTCAACCAGGTCTGGTATTCTATGGTCCCCAAAATGGCACCCTATTCCCTATATAGTGCACTACTTTTGACTAGAGACCTATGGAGAATAGGGTGCAATTTAGGACGCACACTAACATATTCAGATGTTATTACTTTACCAGGCCAGGAGAGCTCCCCTCCAAATATACTAAAACAAAAACATAAACGCAACATGTAAAGTGTTGGTCCCATGTTTCATGAGCTGAACATTTTTCCATATGCACAAAAACGCTTTTTTGGCTCAAATTTGGTGCACAAATTTCTTTACATCCCTGTTAGTGAGCATTTCTCCTTTGCCAAAATAATTAATCCACCTGAGTGGTGTGGCATATCAAGACATTGATTACATGGCATCATCATTACACAGGTGCACCTTGTGCTGGGGCAATAAAAGGCCATTTTAAAATGTGCAGTTTTGTCACACAACACAATGCCACAGATGTCTCAAGTTTTGAAGGAGCGTGCAATTGGCATGCTGACAGCAGGAATGTCCACCAGAGCTTTTGGCAGAAAATTGAACATTAATTTCTCTACCATAAGCTGCCTACAACTTCGTTTTAGAGAATTTGGCAGTACGTCCAACCGGCCTCACAACCGAAGACCAAGTGTAACCACGCCAGCCCAGGACCTCCACATCTGGCTTCTTCACCTGCAGGATCGTCTGAGACCAGTCACCCAGACAGCTGATGAAACTGAGGAGTATTTCTGTCTGTAATAAAGCCCTTTTGTAGGGAAAAACACATTCTGATTGGCTGGGCCTGGCTCCCCAGTGGGTGGGGCTGGCTCCCAAGTGGGTGGGCCTATGCCCTCCCAGGCCCACCCATGGCTGCGCCCATGACCAGTCATTTGAAATCCATAGATTAGTGACTAATTAATTTATTTCAATTGACTGATTTCCTTATATGAGCTGTAACGTTGAAATTGTTGCGTTTACATTTTTGTTCAGTATAGGTAACTGCGTTTCAATTTAGGTAGCTATAGAATTTAGAATATATCACCCATTAAAAACTCACTACTGGTATACTAGCACAGCCCAATGAAAACTCTTTGTCCTGTAATAACTCAAAATATGATAATAATAAATAATAATATGCCATTTAGCAGACGCTTTTATCCAAAGCGACTTACAGTGCATACATTTTTACGTATGGGTGGTCCCGGGGATCGAACCCACTACCCTGGCGTTACAAGCGCCATGCTCTACCAATTGAGCTACAGAGGACCACATGATCTATTGAAAACATACAATTGTTTAAGGCTCACAACGCTTCAAATCTCCAGTTAAAGCGGACTATGGTAACTAACTGGTAATGTAACTATGGTAACTAAATTGGTAATGTAACCGACTATGGTAACGTAGCGATGGTAACTAGCGGGTAATGTAGCTATGGTAACTAACTGGTAATGTAGCTGGGGAAGTGTATTGTCTGAGGGAGAGGTAAAATACGTTTGATTCAGGAATGGGTAGAGTGAACGATAAAATCCACAGTTTCATTATGACTTACTATGTGTTGTACCATGGGGGCCTTGTATGCTATGCTCCAGCCTGGTTGGTCCCAGGTCTATTTGTGCCATCTTCCCCAGTCACATGATCATTGGAAGACGGTAGGCTTGGGCGATACATACCGTTTATACCGGGGTATTTCGAAATACCAACGGTATGATTTTCAACACCGTATTTTTTTTATTACTTTTTTTCCAGGTAGGGGATTGTGAGTGCGTGCTACGCCACTGCCTGTAACTTTAAGTTAAGTATAACTATAAGAAATCTAAGATGTGTTAAATAAATGATATCCAGCTCAGGGCTCCAGCTATGCATCTGGTTTGCTAACTTGCTAGCTAAGTGGCTAAAAGTCAAGATCATCTTCTTGGTTACAGCAGAGACATTCAATCCCCTCCTGGATCAAGATCCCTGTTGCTTAAACTGGTTTGTGCATTAAAAATTAAAAAATAACATTATTTCTGTTTTGTTTCGTGAAATAGCGCCCCTTCTGTGCACATTCGGTAATACTGCATACCCCCGGTATGGTACAGAAATGGTATGACAGTATGAACATATGGGTACAGACCAACCCCAGAAGATGTCACAAACCGATCTGGAACCAGGCCATCTATTTGAGCCCCTTAAATACATTACAACAGTGGTGATGACAGGTGCTTGGTGGAGCCAGCTCAGTTAAATCATTACAAAGATATATTCAGACGTGACGCTGTAACCGAGGATCAACAGCCGCATTCCTTCAGGACAGCGAGGAAATAGTATGGAGCGGTAGATGGATTGCATCCCAAATGGCAACTTATTCCCAACGTAGTGGCGCTATTTTCACCATCCATTTACGTGAAACATGATCGATCCAGAGTTGGCTTTGTTTTCCTAAGAGAGTGTTGTCTACATCCTGCCTCTTCATTCCCACAGGGCTCTGGTCAAAAGGTAGTGCACTATGTAGGGAATAGGGTGCCATTTGGGACAGAGCCTCAGCCTCAGTTCAGACCCCTTCCTGCATCCTAGTCACCCACCATTTTGTCACCAATCTGGCACATGATGTTACTGCCTGGGACATTTAAAAAAAAGCCAGCAAGCAGAATAACAATACATTTAAGCATATAATATTTCTTTTTAACAACATCTGCATTTTGTACCAGTAAATACTACACACAGTGAGGGGAGAAAAAGGAGTAGCCTCACTAAAAGATGACCGAGGTGACATCACTGAAACAGCTTCTTCTTATTCGTTTTTAAAATCCAACTGTCACCACAGAGAGCTTTCAGTTAAAATCCCACTGCCAATGCTGTGGCTGGCTGTAAGAGCCTGCAGCTTCACGCTAAACACAGGTGGTGGTGGTTGGGGATACGAACAAACCAGCTCTAGTCAGCTGTAGGTAGGTCATCTCATCGAGAGGAGGAACTGATCAGGATTATCATGAGTCGAGCCCACGTCGTCAAACCAGCGTATGTATGGAAGAAGAAAAGGCTGTTCTCCACATTGAGAGAGAAAAAAAAGGAACACAAAAACCTTGAAGATGTAAAAAAAAGTCAAAATATGATGAGCATGTATAAAAGATGGAGTACCGCCGATCCCCTCAGTTATAACAGACGTTCTCCTCAGATGAAGTGCTGAGGGGGGCAGTGGAGCGACGCTGGAGGGGGGAGTAGAGAGGCTGGCCCATTGTTGGGTCAGGCAGAGAGGAGATACTGGTCTACTGAGCCGACGACAGCCGAGACGGAAGAATTTGCCAGTTGGTTTCCACAAGAAAGATGATACGACTCCCAATAAGTCAGAAGGGAGAAAATAGTTCAAAAAGAAAGAAATATTGTTTTTGACCCAAAGACATTATGTTCCCAGTGTGTATGAGAAATTACTTCTTTACCCATCTTCTTTAGGAGGTGTATACCAGCCTGGAATGAATAACACACAAAGGTTGTCACAACAACCACAGATTTGTATAATAATCTATATAAAAATCATTCAAGGGTTCATTTATGTTCATATGGATTAATAGTTCAATGAGGATCATTTACCATTCTTTTCGTGAATCTGCACCAGGGATTTGTATGACTGTTGTGCTCTGGCAAGACTGTACTGATTCTAGAAGAATACAGTGAAAATACAGATTAGATTAAATCTTCAACAACCTGAAATGGTGTGACATATCTATGGTTACCAAATGGTACCAGTACTACCGTTGTTTACCTTATTGGCTCCAAACTGCACTCTGGCTTTTCCTTTCACTAGGGTTGCATTGATCTGCATGATGACAGACTCTATGGAATAGGCACTGCTCCAGCCCTGAAACAACACAAAGAAATAATAATTGGGCTGGCTGAAACCTTGTCAGTTCTGTCAGATCAGTGGCAATGAAGGAGAGGAGGTGAGGAGAATATATATATATTTTTTTTTTTAAAGACAATTGAGCAAAGAGAAACAGCCAGCTTCTTCAGCAACTTTAGTTAGGGATGAACATTGTATGAATGGTATTAAAATCCAGACCTGTTTTGTGAGAAGTTCCATACACAAGGCCCCTCCGCCAAGAACGTACCTGAAATACAGGACGGAGAAGTACCAGCTCAGTACCAGTTCGAGGTGGAGAAGTACCGAGACCGGGTTAACGAACCAGACAAGGATTAGGCACATCTCATTTTTAGCAATTTAGCAGAAGCTAAAGTATTAAACTTTCCTGTCATCATCAAGATAGTCTCAATGGTTTAGTCGTTCAGAATGATTTGCATCAGGGGCATGACGAAAAGCACTGCCAGACTACTCTAGGGTAGAATCAGAAGTATAGGAGTCCATCCAGACTTCACTGAGCGGCACTCACCCTCCAGACAGCACAGGGGAGACTACCCGTACGAACGGTGGATCAAAGGGAAAGTTATCCTGCAAGAGTCAAACAAGAAAACGCCTTTATCTCAAAACCGCTTTCACACCCGAAAAAAAAGTAAATCAATTTGTAAAAATCGATCAACGAATGAAACTCACTTTATATGAGAAACTGAGCAGAATGTAGTCCAACCCTTCCTTTTCCTTCAGAACCTGCAAGTCACTATGTAACGGACTATCTGGGTCTACCCTGTAAAATAAAGACAGAATGACTCGACTATAGGGAAACAGGGGAAGCCACCACAGCTCTATGAAATAACACCTGGATCTGAATACTTACGTCCTTATTTTGACGTGCCATTCATAAAGGCTGTCATTGACTAGCTCCACTGAATAAATACCTGGAAATGAATAACAAGATATGCAGGTGAACATCACTGTTAATCAACATGTTATCACCATTATCATCATCAAGCCAGATCTACAAAACACTGAAGGGTTAGGGCCAACGGGGTGCTGAACCAGGCCACCTCTCACCTGTCTTGTAACTCTGATCTGTAAAGCTCTCACCTGTCTTGTAACTGACCTGTGGATCTCTCACCTGTCTCGTAACTGACCTGTCGATCTCTCACTTATCTTGTAACTCTGATCTGTAAAGCTCTAACCTGTCTTGTAACTCTGATCTGTAAAGCTCTAACCTGTCTTGTAACTCTGACCTGTAAAGCTCTAACCTGTCTTGTAACTCTGATCTGTAAAGCTCTAACCTGTCTTGTAACTCTGATCTGTAAAGCTCTAACCTGTCTTGTAACTCTGATCTGTAAAGCTCTAACCTGTCTTGTAACTCTGATCTGTAAAGCTCTCACCTGTCTTGTAACTCTGTGATCTGTAAAGCTCTCACCTGTCTTGTAACTCTGTGATCTGTAGATCTCCCTGAGTTCCTTCATGAGACGATCAGAGGCCTGAACGGAACCAGAGACGGCACCCTGAAACAGGCATCACAACACAATATGGATCAGACCCAGGCTACCTTAGTGCACCGTTTCTCAACCCAATCCTCCAGGACCACACGTACCTCCACATATCTGATCTAGTCCAACACTAACGCACCTGATTTAGCCAACCAACAATGGGCTTGATGATTGGTTGATTTGTTGTTATCAGGTGAGCTAGTTTTGCAATGGATGAAATATGGCTGGGGGTCCCTGAGGACTGGGTTAAGAAAAACACACAAGAGACTATAAAAACGGTGGAAATGTTCCCGTTTCCCCCCCCTGAAAAATAAGAAAGACATCTTACCGAATGAGCACTTACGTTCAAGTGGTCCTGCCTCTGGTTCTTACGGATCTTCTCTAGGATGGCCAGGTTCTCCTTCAAATCAAATCACGTTCAACTTTATTTATACAGCACATTATGTACAAAAAAATGCAGTAGGAAGTGCGTCATTAAATAATACAAAGTTAGAATGATAAAAAAAATATATATGTTTCGACAAATAGATACATTAAGATAGTAAAACAATAGTAAAAGTAGTAATATCCGCGGGACACAGCAAAGTGAACACAGTACAATGGAACACTTACGTGCACAATTACAAGGAGCAATTTTCTAAAAACATGCAGGGAAGACGTAGTCTGGTTAACCAGTCTAACAATCCACTTCTTGTGTCATATGCCAAAAGAGGAGAATGGCCTTTCAGCAATCTCAGCGTTCAATACGCAGCTGGATTTCCGGAGGAGCTGCTCATTGGTTGCTGGAAATAACATATTTTCCATGACAACATGCGGAGCCTCGAAAGTAGAATAAGATTTATAACAAAGTCAAAAACAAAGATTTAGCTGTTAGCTAGGCAAGCCTCAAGACGTTTTGTCTTTGGAATTGCAGAATGTATTCAGTTTGAGAATTTAGAGGTAAGCTACCAACTTCTGACAGAATGGTTGTCTGGACAACAACAAAAAAAAGGTTGCTTAGCAACCTGACACTAACACGATCTGTGGAGAAAGAAAAAAGTGAGTTCCAATATTTACATAACCTTTGTGATTGGAGGATATCTGTGGTAAAGCAACTCATGACCAAATCCTAAACCTAACCTTCTATTACCACCAAAAAAACAAATGTTTGTTTTCATACATTTTTACTATATAGCCAATTTTGACTGCGGTTGTGGTAACTAGTGGAAACCCAAACCCTCTGATCTCCTCCAGCTCATTAATGATGGAATGTTCATATTTGAAGATTGAAGAAGGACCCGTCTCTGGGGCGAATGACATGGAGTGGAATGTAATACTGGAAGTGTCTGCAACCATAGGAGGTCGGTCCAATAGACTAGAGTAGTGGTAACCAACCTTTTCTGAGTCCAGATCACTTCCTGAGTCAAAATGCAAGACGAGATCTACCCCTCAGATTATTATTTTTTATTTTATTTTAAACATGACTTTTTAAAAAAACGTAAGCCCTATGCAACATTAACCAATTAAAAAACAGTTCTGTAGCACTGAGGTTGGTGCAGTATTTGAGGTATATGATCACACTGGTAATAGAACATGTTGTATTACTTGAGGCACAGCTGCCTGAGCATAATAATGTGCTTTTCTTTATTTTACTGGACTGATGGCCTGCTTCTGATGGTCAGTCTGAGGGAGGGGGGGAGGGAGGGAGAGAACAGCGGTGAGGCTGCCGGTCACCTGACTCACCGTCCCGCCACTCTCCCTCCTCTGCTGTGAAAAGGAGACAGTCTTCAAGCTGATGGCAATGCATTATTTCAGCCTCATGCACCAATTCATGTTGTTACTCCTATGACCAGAGAAAGTGAAATATTCCTCGATATTAAAAAAGACACAAGCCGCTAATAATAACAACGCAAGCTTAATCGGAACACTTTGCTGTACTCATTCATTGCAGCTGCAGTGCTGGTTGTAGTGTGAGTGAAAGTAGGGAGAATGCACATTTTATGGCTTATAAAAATTGTTGAACAAGGTGTTAACAGTGTTGAATAACACCTTAAACATTAAGTTACTCATAAAATCAGCAGCGCTTCGCTGTATTCGTTGAGTCTCTCTCTAGTCATGGTTTGAAACGTTTTAATCTCACAGTATCAACTTTGTGTGTTCGAGGCTTCTTTTTGCATCCTATAGCTCGAGGAAACTGTGCAGACACTTATCTGAGCTATCTGATTGGCCAGCGGTAGGCCTATAGGTGCACTTGATTTGCTCTCTGGGCCTGCGGAGTTCTACCTTCAAACACATTAAATGGTTCAACATGGGAACACTGCCTTCCCGGCGCTAGGGCTGCTGAATCAAGTGCACCTACCGCCAACAGCACACAAAAAAATAAAAAAAGATATAGTAGGAACGCTTTATCTTTGGGTTTTTTACAGAAATGTTTGGTGATCGACTAGGATTCCCTTGGAGATTGACCCAGTCGATCGGGATTGACCGGTTTGGTGACCACTGGGATAAGCTTCCCCTAAAGTAAATTTAATTTGCCAAAATTATACAGAACAAAAATGAAACATGCAACAATTTCAAATATTTTACTGAGTTACAGTTTATAGAAGGAATTCAATCAATTCAAATAAATTCATTAGGCCATAATCTCTGGCAACAGCTCTGTTGGACATTCCTGCAGTCAGCATGCCAATAGCACACTCAAAATTCCAGAGAAATAAACTTTGTGCGTATGGAACATTTCTGGGATCTTTTATTTCAGCTCATGAAAAATGGGACCAACACTTCACATGTTGCCTTTATATTTTTGTTCAGTATACATAATTACTCCCGTCTATAGAAAAATAAATAACATCCTTCAAAACACTACACCAGAGAGCATGATTTAACCACAGAGGATCATTAGCTTCTTTAAAAAAAAATAGCTGTGTATTGTTTTAAAATCACAAGGCCAGGGCATAAACTAGTTGGGAAGCGTGCAATTTGGTCAGCACACGCAGCAAATCAATTAGCTGATTGTTGATTTGCAGCTGCCAGTGAAAAGCATCTAAAATAGGCCTGGCGCAATATTTTCCAAATACAATCGCTGGGGGAAACCGAGAAAGAAGAAACAAACGTCTTTAGCTGTCAAAGTTCTCTACTCCCAATAGGCTACTGTTCACTCAGTAGCTTATCTTATTGGCGCTATAGAGGTGAGCATCGGCCATATCCCCGGCGAGCGAGCGTATTCACGGTCTTTATCATTACGTTGTTTTAGGACAATAGTTCCTCCTCCAGGCTACATTGGACGTCATAGCCTACAAATCCGTCTCCCCTTTTCATAGGCCTCGATTAGATGGTTGCATTTAAGACAAGGTTGTTATTATTATTTTTTTTTTATCTCATTAGCCTAAATTATGACTATCCAATCTACTCATCACATTAGGAATAGTAGGCTATCTTACGTTTGTCTGCAAATGCGATGATTGATGCATGCAATACTTTATGATAAAAAGCAATTTTTGGGGCTTCCCCCTAACTTGAAACTCACACGCCGCCTGACTGCAACCAGGCTACAGAAGACTGAGAAAAAAACTAAAAGAAGTCAAGCGTATATACACTGAAGAGAAATATAAACGCAACATGTAAAGTGTTGGTCTCATGTTTCATGAGCTGAAATAAAAGATCCCAGAAATGTTACAAAGTTTATTTCTCTCAAATTTTGTACACAGATTTGTTTTCATCCCTGTTAGTGAGTATTTATCCTTTGCTAAGAAAATCCATCCACCTGACAGGTGTGACATATCAAGAAGCTGATTAAACAGTATGATTATTACGCAGGTGCACCTTGTGCTGGGGACAATAAAAAGCCACTCTAAAATGTGCAGTTTTGTCACACAACACAATGCCACAGATGTGCAATTGGCATGCTGACTGCAGGAATGTCCACCAGAGCTGTTGCTAGAGCATGTAATGTTCATTTCTCTACCATAAGCCGTTTTAGAGAATTTGGCAATTCGTCCAACCGACCTCACAACCGCAGACCACGTGTAACCAGCCAGCCCAGGACCTCCACATCCTGCTTCTTCACCTGCAGGATCGTCTGAGACCAGCCGACTGGACAGTTAATGAAACTGTGGGATTGCCCAACTGAAGAATTTCTGCACAAACTGCTAGAAACCGTCTCAGGGAAGCTCATCTGCGTGCTCGTCGTCCTCACCAGGGTCTTGACCTGACTGCAGTTTAGTGTCGTAACTGACTTCAGTGGTCAAATGCTCACCTTCGATGGCCACTGGAGAAGTGTGCTCTTCACGGATGAATCCCAGTTTCGAACTGTACCGGGCAGATGGCAGACAGCGTGCGTGTATGGCGTCATGTGGGCGAGCGGTTTGCTGATGTCAACGGTGTGCCCCATGGTGGTGGTGGGGTTATGGTATGGGCACACATAAGCTACAGACAACGAACCCAATTGCATTTTATCTATGGCAAATTGAATGCACAGAGATACCGTGACAAGATCCAGAGGCCCATTGTCGTGCCATTCATCCGCCGCCATCACCTCATGTTTCATCATGATATTGCACAGCCCCATGTCGCAAGGATCTGTACACAATTCCTGGAAGCTGAAAATGCCCCAGTTCTTCCAAGGCCTCATACTCACCAGACATGTCACCCATTGAGCATGTTCGAGATTCTTCGCATCGACGTGTACGACAGCGTGTTCCCACCAATATCCAGCAAAGTTTTTTTTTTTTTTTTAAGGTATCTGTGACCAACAGATGCATATCTGTATTCCCAGTCATGTGAAATCCATAGATTAGGGCCTAATGAATTTATTTCAATTGACTGATTTCCTTATATGAACTGTAACTCTGAATAATTGTTGAAATTGTTGCATTTATATTTTTGTTCAGTATAGATATACCTACAAAGAGAGAGAGAGAGAGAGAGACCGACAGAGAGAGGAGGTAGAGATATATAGATATAGAGAGAGAGAGAGAGAGAGAGACCGACAGAGAGAGAGGTAGAGATATATAGATATAGAGAGAGAGAGAGAGAGAGAGACCGACAGAGAGAGAGGTAGAGCTATATAGATATAGAGAGAGAGAGAGAGAGAGAGACCGACAGAGAGAGAGGTAGAGCTATAGAGATATAGAGAGAGAGAGAGAGAGACCGACAGAGAGAGAGGTAGAGATATATAGATATAGAGAGAGAGAGAGAGACCGACAGAGAGAGAGGTAGAGCTATATAGATATAGAGAGAGAGAGAGAGAGAGAGACCGACAGAGAGAGAGGTAGAGCTATAGAGATATAGAGAGAGAGAGAGAGAGAGAGACCGACAGAGAGAGAGGTAGAGATATATAGATATAGAGAGAGAGAGAGAGAGAGAGAGACCGACAGAGAGAGAGGTAGAGCTATATAGATATAGAGAGAGAGAGAGAGAGAG